TTTTTTTTTTGAGTCAAAGTCTTGCTCTGTTGCCCACGCTGGAATACAGTGGTGCAATCTCGGCTCACTGCAACCTTCACCTCCTGGGTTCAAGTGATCCTCCTGCCTCAGCCTCCCAAGTAGCTGGGATTGTAGGCATGCACCACCATACCCAGCTAATTTTTGTATTTTTAGTAGAGACAGAGTTTTGCCATGTTGGCCAGACTGGTCTTGAACTCCTGACCTCAGGTGACTTGCCTGGCTCGGCCTCCCAAAGTGCTAGGATTACAGGCATGAGCCACCACGCCCAGCCCCTCATTTACTCCTTCTAACAGTCCTGTGAGGAAGGTAGTGTTAGGCCTATTTTGTAAATAGGAAAATTGTGATTCTGGTGGTCACATAACTTGTCCAAAGTCATCCAGTCAGAAAGCGAAGTAAGCAGAAGTTAATCCAAATTCTATGTAACTTCAGAACTCATTATCTCTTCCACTTCTCAGGTAATAAGATGGCTCTAATCAGTATATGACTTTAAATGAATAATCTGACCAAATAAAATAGTCCTCAGTGTTTATTAGTTGAATGTTGATGTAAAATCTACATTATACAAACTATCATCTGACAATTAACAAATTTTAAAATGCTTTTGTGTTTACACACTTTTAAAAAAATAGCTAACATAAAACTTCGGCATTCATTTCCATTTTAAAGTGCTACTACTTAGAATAAAATATTACCTTCAGAGTGAAATGAATTCCCATGAAGCCCTGAGATTGGATCCGAGTCCGGGTGTATCTGAACGTCTCTTGAACCAGGCATGCTGTTAAAAAAATTTGTTTTTTCATTATTTACATTCTTCTTCTCAGCAGACATTTTATTTTAAAAATATAATTCATCAAATAAATGGATTCCAGTTATAAACTGACTTTCAAATTAAAAGCACACCATCCATTTGTCCATTTTTTGTGTACATTAAAAACATCTGTGTAACTGGGCTTGCCAGTCTAAGATAAAAGTAATCCCTGTTTTCTGTAGAGAATCTTACAGTTCAAAAAGGACCTCACTCAATCCTTGCCACAACCTACAAGATGGGTGGCATTTTATAAAAGAGAAATTAGGCACGTGAGATAAATATGATTCGAGTGGAACCAGGACTCACATCGATCTCATTCTTTGGTGTCTGAACTCAGCCCACCTTCCCTCACAGAATACAGATCTTCCCGAGAGTCCTGTAAGCGTTTCACCATCCTTCTTTTTTCCAGTTTGCCTTTGCAAAGCTCATTTCTTTTTACTGGGAAATTAATAAATAGCAATAATACAAATCTCTTTTAAGGTATGTAAAAGTTCTTCCCTGAGGAACTCTGTAGGAATTATGAATAGATCATGATTCAATGTATTCCAATAGATGAGTTTAACTCAATTGACAATTTACATATCTTTAGGAAATGGCTTCATGCTTTCAGACCACAAATATTCCAAAAGGAATAATTTCAGTGTATTTAATATTCCCGTGAACAGAATGAATCAAAGAGGCTAAGTACTGACCAGTGGATGCTGGTCACACACATCTGACTCGGTAGGATAAGCCCCACTGTTCCAGAATGTGAGTGGCTTTACAGAGTTCTCATTTCCAGACAATGAGCTGAGAAACGAGTGTAGAGGGGAGGACTGGTGCGACAGGCCTGCACGGGTTAAGGGCAGCTGCACACGAATGTGCATGGGAATCTCCGTGGAGCCTGGTGGCTTTAAGACACTGGGTGTCTGTGTCAGACCTTGAAGGCCAGAGGCCTGCACTAAAACTTACATTCTAAGAAAACAAAGGTGGGACTCTCAAATGTATCCCTAAAAAGCCCCTGGTAAAGAAAGAAGTCTCCGACAAACAAATACCCTTCAGAATAAGGGAGAGCTTCCACACAGGTAGGGAAATAAGAATGCACCAAGGCTCGGCCAGGCACGGTGGCTCACGCCTGTAATTCCAGCACTTTGTGGGGCCTAGGTGGGCGGATCACCTTAGGTCAGGAGTTCGACACCAGCCTAACCAACATGGTGAAACCCTGTCTCCACTAAAAATATGAAATTAGCTGGGCATGGTGGTGCGTGCCTGTAATCTCAGCTACTTAGGAGGCTGAGGCAAGAGAATCACTTGAACCCGGGAGGCAGAGGTTGCAGTGAGCTGAGATCACACCATTGCACTCCAGCCTGGGCAACAGAGTGAAACTCTGTCTCAAAAAAAAAAAAAAAAAGAATGCTCCAAGGCACAAAGCCATGATGCTCAAGTAATTAGCAAGAAAGTTCAAGGATGAGGAGGAGATCCCAGCAAACTCCTACAGCCCTCACTTATGCCCGCTAAAGCAATAAATCCCTGCAGGACCAAGCATCTCTCAGGATCCCCGCAGATGCGGAGGATACACATAGAGCGGAGACAGGGTTACTGCTACTTTACTGTGTCCCCATCACGTGTCAATCCATCCATCCTAATATTTTAGAATCCAATTTCAGTTCAGCTTTCTCCTGCGCAGTAGTCCCAGGACCTGAGCTATTCTCTTTGAGTACGTTAAGGACTTTGGAAAAAGTCTTCATTCTTTCTACCAATACCTGTGAGGCAACCAGGTGTCCTGAAAGACTGAATAATGCACCTTTCCCCAAACTAAATAGGCGTCTAGGGTGTGATGCAGGCATGGGTGGAAAGAGGCTAGCTCAGCTATAGTAACTGTACTGAAGGAAAGGGACGGGGCTCATTGTTCCATGTCAACAGGGAAACTATAGCAAAGATTCAGGAAATCTCTAGGTTGCAGGACCCACAGACCACACCATGCCTTTAAAAACTGGTCAACGAAGTGTTTGAACAGCACACTTTGTCTACGTTCTATGATGTGTAATTATGAAACCCTGACCCAGCCTCTTACCTGGAATTTGGATGTGATTGGAAAGTGGGGTAAAAACTGAAATTGTGTTCCTTGAAAATCTCTGTCCAAGTCCTGTGAAATTTTTCTCTTTTACTTCTTAGATAGTTGAGAAGATCACCATAGCAACAATATTCAAAAATCAAGTAAATTGGTCCTGAAATAGTTACAGTTTCAATTATAGGCATACACAAAGCAAACTGTTATTTCAGAAGTCTATGTAACAGACAACATACTCTTACGAGGGCTCAGTTCTCTACTGACTTGGGGACAGTACAACTTTTTCTGAGCCTATCTCTTCTTATACTTTAAATTCAGTTTCAGCTTTTGCTCAAATTCCTTTGGAAAGCATCATCTTCTTGACTTTCTCTGTGGCCTCTGTTTGTACATGTGGCCTCACCAATACCACTGGCCTCCCGGATTCTCCAGTTTGCAACTGAAAGTAATGTTCTAGCTGTGTATTATAAGCGAACACTTGGTAACTATATGCTAATTTGCAGTTTGCTTGAGAAGAGAGAAATATATTCCCAGTCCTCTCTCAGATTCACTTTCTTCTTTTTCCTTTCTTTCAGTACCAGCCCCAGGCCTGCTGCTGCAGAAAGAATGAACCTTGGGCACATCATTTGGGCATTTCTAGGCAGAAGAGAGAGGATCAGAGGGCATGCCCCAGAGAATTCTGGGAAAGTAAAGTCTGATATCCTAGCTGGGCTGTGCCGTATTTGACAGCAGCCCAACTGGGGCAGTGGCCAGGCTCTGTAACCACTCTCACCACGCCTGTGCACCAGCTTCCAAGCTGGGGGAGAAGCACAGACACCACCAAATGTACTTGCAATGTTGCTGCTGTTGTTTTAAGCAGGTGAGAATTATGCAATATATCCTGACAAAGCAGATGAATGAGGCATTCTTTATTTTGACCCCTCTGATTTACAGAGTGCTTAGTGTCTAATTTCACTTGGGTTGGAGAGTTCACACTGTGACTGAGAAAAGACAAAGAATTAAAAAGAGAGAGAGAACAAACATCCTCTTTGTCATCAGGCTACAGTCTTTTTGATGAGGTGATTTTCATGGAAGTGGGTTACCTGACAGCGTGCACGCCCCCAGCAGGTTCACAATATTCTCGTGGCTTCCCAGCTGGGTCATCATCTTGAGTTCTGACATGAGTGCCTCTCTTTCAGAGCTGTCTGCTTTTTCTGTCAAAGAAAGGAGCATTAAAAACATAAAACTCAAGTGAAATACAAATTTTATGTCATTAAATAAATTAAAAATTTTCTCAGCTCAGAGTCAATCTGCATTATTTATTTAAATTCAAAATTATGAGAAAAGCCGGGCGTGGTGGCTCATGCTTGTAACCCCAGCACTTTGGGAGGCCGAGGTGGGTAGATCACTTGAGGTCAGGAGTTTGAGACTGGCCTGGCCAATATGGTGAAACCTCGTCTCTACCAAAAATACAAAAATTAGCCGGGCGTGGTGGCAGGCACCTGTAATCCCAGCTACTTGGGAGGCTGAGGCAGGAGAATTGCTTGAACGTGGGAGGCAGAGGTTGCAGTTAGCTGAGATCACACCATTGCACTCCAGCCTGGGCAACAAGAGTGAAACTCCATCTCAAAATAAATAAATAAGTAAGTAAATAAATAAACAAACAATATCCTGTGCTTTAAGACAGAATTTCTCCTTTTTTTTTTTTTTTTTTTTGACACAGGGTCTCACTCTGTCACCCAGGCTAGAGTGCAGTGGCGCAGTCTCAGCTCACTGTAGCCTCTGCCTCCTGGGCCCAAGTGATCCTCCTACCTCAGTCCTCCAAGTAACTGGTACTACAAGCGCAGACCATCATGCCCCGCTAATTTTTTTTTATTTTTTGTAGAGATGGGGTCTCACCATGTTGCCCAGGCTGGTCTCAAACCCCTAGACTCAAGCACTCCTCCCAACTCCACCTCCCAAAGTGCTGGGAATACAGGTATGAGCCACCATGCTCAGCCTAAGGCAGAATTCAGAGTGTAGTATAGGGTTGGGCGCAGTGGCTCACACTTGTAATCCCAACACTTTGGGAGGCCAAGGCGGGTGGATCACTTGAGGTCAGGAGTTGAAGACCAACCTGGCCAACATGGTGTCTCTACTAAAAATACAAAAAATTAGCTGGGCATGCTGGCGCACACCTGTAATTCCAGCTACTCAGGAGGCTGAGGCAAGAGAATCCCTTGAACTGGGGAGGCAGAGGTTGCAGTGAGCCGAGATCGAGCCCCTGCACCACTCCAGCCTGGGTGATACGTGAGACTCTCTCTCAAACAAAACAAAACAAAACAAAGGCTATAGTATAAATGTTGAACCTGGTGATGCACCTTTCAACAGGACTTTCCTCTACCTACTAAAATAAAAATCCTTACAGTTGGCCCTCAAAACTAGCAAACAAAATAATAACACATGCTTTTCCTCCTCAGTACAAGTTAACAGAAGGGAGAAATACGCTTTTTGTTTGTTTGAACTCTTGGATTTGTTGCAGTCAGAGAGAGATAAGATAGCAGTGTCATGAGTGTGGCTGACTCTAACCCGTGGCCCTCAGGTCTAGAACATTAGATTTGCCAGCAAGTCCAATGGGAGGAGGTCAAAGAAAGCTAATTCCCACTACCAAGTGCTCAAGAGACCCATTAATTGACACTGAGAAATAAAACTGCCAAGCAGGCTGGAACGTATTGGTTGGCCAATGCATTCTCTCTCTAGGGAGAATTCTAGAGGGCTCAGCAAACTGTGCTCATAACCTGGCTTAGAAGCACAGTGCGAGGAAAGTCACCACGGAATCCAGGGGTCCTGTCATTGTGGCTGATGTGCAGTTGGTCAGGGGAGCCCGGGCAGCCACAGGGGCAAGGGCAGGGTCTCTGGACTTCCCTCTCCAGGCTCCAGGCACCACCCCTCTGTGAACGGATTTTTTCTTCCAGATATAGTAACTCTTCTTTACATTCAGTGAAGATTTGGTTCGATTTCCAGATTCCATTACTTTGTGCAGGAGGGCATCCTAACCTGTATAGCAGCTTCTCCAGTGCTGACATTTTCTATTTTGGCTTGGGCAAGCTCTCAGGGGTATCCTTGTTTCCAAGATTTTGGCTTGGGGTGGGATTTCCTGTGGGCACTGGGACCCCGGAATACATCATGTCTTCAGCTTCACGCTGGACAGGGATCCGGGGCTTTCACTTGTTCATGTCCTATTCCTCATGGCTAAAATAATATCTTATATTTTTTGGCATGCTTTGCTTCTTCTAAACACTTTCATATACTATTACCTCTTTCATTCAGTCATTCAATAAGTATTTATTGAGTGCCTACTGTGTAAGAGCCAATATCCTAGACGCTGGGGAATGAAGGATAAACAAGACACAACTCTTGTCTTCCTGGAGTTTAGAGTCTCCTGGAGAAGGCAGAGAAGTAAATAAGCCATTACAATACAGTGCCATAAATGCAATATGGCAGGCAAGGTGTGGGCCTGTAATCCCAACATCGTGGGAGGCTGAGGCAAGCGGGAGAATTGCTGGTACCCAGGAGTTTGAGACCAGCCTGGGCAAAATAGCGAGAGCTCATCTCTACTTAAAAACAAAATAAAATAAAAATTAGCTGGGCGTGATGGTGTATGCGTGTAGTTCCAGCTCCTGGAAAGGCCATGGACAGACCATCACTTCAGCCTAGGACTTCAAGCTTGCATTGAGCTATGATCACTCCACTGCACTCCAGCCTGGGTAACAGACTGAGACCCTATCTCAAAAAAAAACGAAAAGAAAAAATGCAAACTGGCAAAGGAATGCAGGGGTTCTGTAGGGTCAAAAGGGACAGCTACCTTAGCCTTTGAGGGGTGGGGAAAGGAGCATTCAATGTCTAAACTGAGTCCTGAAGAAAAACGGGAGCTGGCCATGGTGGAGGGGGGAGGAGAACGGTGCCGAGGGTTGTGAAAGAGTGCGCAGAGGTCGAGAAAGGAGAGGGCACAGCACCACAGACACAGACCCTGCCCTCATGAGGCACAGGGGCTGCTGGACAGATGGGACAGCAACTGGATATTAAACACATGTCGTGACAAAGGTGACGGATTCTATGGGGGAAAGTCTGCAGAAAGCTAACGTCGCACATTGTAAGGGCTTCAATATTGTCTGTGGTGTGAGACAGAGGAAGTGGTGTTTAAGCTGAGATCTGAGGTTGCAGTGGGAGATACCTACATGAAAGGGGAAGGGGAAGCAGAAGGATCCACTTGTGCAAAGGCCCCACAGTGGGCGGGAGGACAGTGCTGGGGGAACTGAAAGAAGGCCAGTGCTCTGGGTGCTGAGAACAAGAGGTGGGGAGGCGGCGGCGGCCCAGCCATGCGGGTGGTGGAGGAAATGCGAAGTAGGAAAGCCATTTGATCTGCTTAGCCTTTCATCACTGTCACTTGGACCTCAGCATGGAGAAACCAAAGGGAGGCAAGAGTGGATACAGGAACTTGCTTTGGAAGCTTTCGTGCAGGAGAGAGCCTTGAACTAGGGTGGTGGTAATAGAGATGGAGGGACAAGGATGGAATCAAGAGACACTAAGCGGAAACCTGATAGGATTGGCTCACAGGGTGTTAGAAAGAGGAAGGTGTCAAGGAAAACTCACGGGTTCCTAGTGTGCCCAACTATATAGAATGTGGTTATTTATTCACTGGCATTCATTACCAGTCACAGAGAGGACCGCTGGTGCAGGACCAGGGTTAGGGGAGTTCACCTTGGATACACTGTGTTAAAGGGAACTTTGAGACATCCAAACATTTAATACGTGAACCTGAAGCTCCGAAGCGAGATACAAGCATGAGGGCCATTGGTGTATAGGAGGACATCACGGACATAGTGGGGATGGACTGTGTTGAGTATGTGGAGCAGAAATGCAAGGCGGTCCAGGAGCAAGCCTACAGGGATGCCCCCTAAAAAGCTGGATGGAGCCTAGGCAACATGGCAAAGCCCCATCTCTACCAAAAATACAATAATTAGCCAGGCATGGTGGCGCAAGCCTGTAGTTCCCCCTACTCAGGAGCCTGAAGTGGGAGGATGGCTTGAGCCTGGGAAGTGGAGGTTGCAGTGAGCTGAGATCACACCACCGAACTCCAGCCTGGGTGACAGAGCGAGGCTGTGTTTCAAAAACAGCCACAGCAACCAAAGCTGGATGGAAGAAGATGAGCTCACAAAGGACTGAGAAGGGCAGGGGGGTGGGAGGAAAACCAGAATACGGCGACACAAAACCCAAAGAAAGAAAGTTTCTAGATGGAGAGAAGAGTCAACAGCATCAATTCATGCTGAACAATCAAGTAATGAGGACTGACAAATATCCATTAGGCTTGGTTTGAGGTCACTGTTGACCTTAGCAAGAGAGCCAGCTGGAGGTGCTTTTGCTGAGTCAGCGGTGGTAACGGGGAGGCCAATAATGAGGCTGGACGCCAGATCGGAATGGATGGAGCAATGAAGTGAGGATACGAAGGGCCCCAATTTACTGTCCTACCCAGAGTCTGTTTCAACCCACACCTGTAATTCCAGCACTTTAGGAGGCCAAGACAGCCTCACTTGAGCCAGGAGTTTGCAACCAGCCTGGGCAATATGGTGAGACACCATCTCTACAAAAAAATAAAAACAAAATTAGCCAATTGTATTGGCACACTCCCGTGAGGCTGAGGTGAGAGGATCACTTGAGCCAAGGAGGTCGAAGTTGCAGTGAGCTATGATCACAGCACTCTAGCCTGGGCAACAGAGCAAGATCCTGTCTCTAAAAATAAAACAAAACAACAACACAGACGGAAGAAAGAACTTCTGCCTGTGGCAACTGTATCCCCAAATATCAAAGCCTATAAAAACTAAATAGGCCTGGCACAGTGGCTCACACCTGTAATCCCAGCACTTTGGGAGGCCGAGGCGGGCAGATAGCTTGAGCTCAGATCAGCCTAGGCAACATGGTGAAACCCCGTTTCACCAAAAATACAAAAATCAGCTGCGCGTGGTGGTGCGCGCCTGTATCCCCAGCTGCTGAGGAGCCTGAGCCCAGGGGGCGGAGGCTGCAGTGAGCCATGATCACACTGCTGTACTCCAGCCTAGGTGACAGAGTGAGACCCTATCTCAATAAAATAAAATAAAATAAAAATAAACAAAGAGAGAAGTGGAAGAAGAGGTGGAGTTTTGTATTTATGACTTGAATTTTGTACTCATGACTGGCTTGACACTCATCCCAATCCACTCCATTTTTAGCCTCGAAACATGGCAAATAGTAACCATTGAAAGGATAGAAAAGAAGAAGGCATGGGTGGGAAACCGTGCCTCCCATTTTTGTGCATCTTTGTTGCTGTTCTTCCACTATACTGTACCTTTCAGCATTTTGACCGCAACCTGGATTGAGACTCCTGTTTTGCTAATTCCATAAGCTGTTGCGTTCATCACTTTTCCAAAAGCCCCTGATCCTAGCACCTTCCCTGCAAAGATAAATGGTGAGTACGTGCATTTGAAAGATTTCCCAATGGAAAAGAAATGCTGTGGAAACATTTGGCCCATTCCACTCTTACCAAACTCTAAATTTTCTCTTGGAAACTCCCATTTGAGATCATAGTCATAGTCTCTGAAATCAACGTAGAAGTACTCATTATCTGAGGAGCCGGTCACCTGTACCATCTGTAGCTGGCTTTCATACCTAAATTGCTTCAGAGATGAAATGATAAGTCAGTTAGGAATAGGCAGTTCTGCAGATGGAGGAAAGAATAATGAATTTTTACCTTTGCTTTTACCTTTTTGTACTTGTGACAAATCAGCATGGTTAAAACGACAATGAAGAGGAGACAAACACCAATTGTTGCATAGAATGAGATGCTGTCTTGGATGAAAGGGAAGGGGCCTGCAACCAAAGAGTGTCACTCAGCGATGATGAAACAGAATTCCTGTGCAACTTTATAAATAGTGGACAACTCATTATAATCTCTTACATCCTGTTTCAGTAATAATCATTGTCAGTCCTCACAACCATTCTGCATATACTCTACTGCCCACAGACAATCAGGCAATGTCCCTGTAAAGGACACATTTCCTCCCTAGAAATTGCAGATTATTCTGAATCCATTCTTTAAAACCATTTACTAGGGTTACAAGAATTACATCTGGGCCAGGCACGAGGGCTCACGCCTGCAGTCCCAGCACTTTGGGAGGCCAATGTGGGAGGATCACTTGAATCCAAGAATTAGAGACCAGCCCAGGCAACATGGTGAAACCCCATCTCTACAAAAAAAAATACAAAAATTAGCTGGGGATGGTGGCAGGTGCCTGTAATCCCAGCTACTTGGGAGGCTAAGGCAGGAGAATCGCTTGAACCCTGAAGGCAGAGGTTACAGTGAGCCAAGATCACACCATTGTACTCCAGCTTGGGCAACAGAGCAAGACTCCATCTCAAAAACAACAACAACAACAAAAACCATGAATTTAAACCTACAGGATGTACAAATCAGAGAAAAAAGAAGTTCATATCCCTTTTAGGAAGGTCTCACATAAAAGTGGAGAAGTCAGTTTTGTGAGGCTGGTGATCCTAATTATTAGGGTGGGCAGCCAGGTTTCAGAATTGTTTAACTTAGGAGGGCTCTAAAAAGCAAACCAAAAATTATAAAACAGCAGGCTAAGGGCAAATAAGGAAGTTAATCAAAAGGGAAAATGACAGAGACTCCAAGTGACAAAATCTGAGTCTCTAAAGTTCGATCTTTCCATGGAGATTCGCCACACCAGGAGTTTCTGCTTCTGCCCATCACGGTGACAGATGAGTCACGAGGGCACAGGCAGGACTCCGCCCCAACCTGCGAAACAGTCTGTCTGGGGATTCTTGCCTGACTCAAGAAACCTTTTCTCATACACTGACCCTATACTCTCCTGTAAAATTCCCCAAGTAAAAGTCAGCGATGGGGACTAACTTCTCGTGGGGAATTCCTGATGGTGGAGTATTACAACAGCAATTGTTGTACCTGGAGAGTTTAAAAGGATCGTCTCACAAGATGTGCCAAGGGAATTGTATGCACAGCACTTGACCAGGAACCCTTTTATGGCTTCACTCATGTTTAGAGTACTGCTGGACACCCACTGTCCAAACACTTTTCTGTTAGCCTTTCTATTCCAGACTCCTTCTGGGATCTCTTCTGTGCAGCTGAAAAAAAACAAAATGGCAAAGAATTTAGACAGGTGAGCTGTCATCAGATGGGAAGTTAGGGTTTCTGCAGCGAGTTCTAAAAGAGATTCATCCAGTATAAGCTATCAGAAACAATCTATGACCATTGAGAATTATGGTTGAGAACATTAGCATTTTAAATATTTCATCATTTCTTCTTAAACTGTGTGCATGAAAGAGTCAATATGTCAGAGTTTTATGTTCTTCCATTATAAGAGACATCAATGTCCTTATTACTTGGGAGACTTGTCTGAACACTTCTTCCAGGTCCAAGATGGTAATGGGTATCCATCCGAGGAACAGGACGCCTGACTCGCTGATGCTTCCGCGAGCACTTGAGGTTTCCCTACAGAAAAGAAAACGTGTGAAATAAGCTCACTGGCTGGACAGAGTGGTTCGCTCCTATAATACCAACACTTTGTGAAGCCGAGGTGGGAGGATCACTTGGGCCGAGGGGTTCAAGACCAGCCTGGGCAACATAGCAAGACCCTGTCTCTGAAAATAATAAAATAAAAGAAGCTCATGGAGCACGGTACTTTCTGGAAATAGTTTCAAAGCTGCCTACAGTACAGGCTACCCATTTACTCCAGGGCAGTTTGTGCTTCTGGGAGGGTGTCTCACTCAGAACGACTCCAGACCTCTGGTAATGTCTTCTTTCCTCCTTGCCATGCAACCTTCTGGTTGGGCAGCGTTGACACCTCTCTGCTACACACCATTTTCCCATTGCCAGCCTCCCCCTGGAGAGAGCTGAGGTACAGACCTCCACCTGCTTGCACGACTTAAAATGATTCTCAGCTTCAGAAGAAGTTGGACTTCTCATTGTTTTGTAAGCCAAAGAAATGAAAATTATTAAAAACAAATAAATCAGAGAGAAAATGACTTTCAGCCTTTCCTTAACATGCCCTTTCAAAATACTAAAATCAATAAAGTCACAACACGAATTCATATTCAGAGACAATGTGAAATAAGTCTTTCAGCCTCTGAGGACACACACAGAAAGAGATACATGGCCAGGTGCAGTGGCTCTCGCCTGTAATCCTAGCACTTTGGGAGGCCAAGGTATGAGGATCCCTTGAGGCCAGGAGTTTGAGATCAACCTGGGCAACAAAGGGAGGCCCCCTCTCTACAAAAATGGTTTTAAAATTAGCTAAGCATGGGGGACTGTGCCTGTAGTCCCAGCTACGTGGGAGGCTTACTTAGGAGGATCACGTGAGCCCAGGAGTTTGAAGCTATGGGGATTTATGATTGTGCCATGGCACCCCAGACTGCATGATAGAGTGAGACCTGGTGTTAAAAATGAAACAAAACAAAATAACATAAAAAATAAAGAGAAATATGATCGATGCCAGTGGATATGAGAGTAAAATTTCAAAACACTTCAGCATACAAACACAGTTTTGTAGTACCCCTTCTAAGCCATTACTTAGCTCTTCCTAGTTAAGACTAATAAAGAATTAAGGAATTAAAAAATAAAAATGAAATTCTTGGCAATTTAACTTACTTCTTATATTCAGCGTGAACATTTTGGTAAATTGGGCATCACCATTTTCTGCATGGAATATATATTCTCCTGGCTGGTGCTTATGATTGCAAAACTTGGATACGCTGTTTGAAAAAGAATTAAAGACAGATTTAGCCTGATTGCTACAAGAGATGCTGCAACTAATGACAGTGTGCATGGGAGGAGTCTTCCTTGAAATGCTCCTTACTTGCTAAAGTTCACTGGAAAAGGAGATGTCCATATTCTAGACCCTTGCTACTCAAAGTGTGGTCCACAGACAGGCAGCATCAACATCGCCATCGGTATCATCTGGGAGCTTGTTACAATTGCAAGATTTCAGGTCCCATCTCAAATCACTGACTCAGAATCTGCATTTTAAGATGATCACCATGTGAGTCATATGCCCACTGAGAGCTGGGATTGACCGAAGATCCTCAGTGAGACAAGGAAGTTCCTGCCCTTCTTGTTCTGGAGAGTCTGACTTCTCAGATCTTGTGCAGGTGGAGGAGCCTGTAGTTCAGAGGTCCCCAACCCCCTGGCCACAGACTGGTACCTGTCCATGGCCCGTTAGGAACAGGGCCACACAGCAGGAAGTGAGCAGCAGGCAAGCCGGCTTTACCACCTCCTGTCAGAGCAGCAGAGGAATTAAGCCTCACAGGAGCACAAACCTGTGAATTGCGCATACCAGGGATCTAGGTCGTGTGCTCCTTATGAGAATCTAATCCCCGATGATCTGAGGTGGAACAGTTTCATCCCAAAACCAACCCCTACCCCCAATCTATGGAAAAACTGTCTTCCACAAAATGGATCCCTGGTGCTGAAAACGTTGAGGACTGCTGCTGTAGCTGCCCTGCTTCCTGAAATGATGGTCCAAGGCAGGACCTATGACCAACCCTTGACTTACATAGCAATGAACCATGATGAGGACTCAAATCCACTGAGCTTGTGCAGAAACTTCTGAGTGCTCTCGCAGGCTCTAGTGCCTACTTGGAGAACTCATCAACCACTCAACCACTCAATATTTTGACACGGATAACCTGATCTTGGGGACTATCCACCACACCCAGCAGGCCTGTGGGTTGCTGGATACTGCAGTGAGATGTTGGATGGTGCAGGAGAGGCAGGGGAGCAAGGAGCTGTTGAATATGCCTTCATGCACTCACAGTAACAAAATTGGAGAAAAAGAAAATAAATTCCCTTCAAACAGAAAAAGATATCTAAGGCTTGTTCCAAAGATAGCTAACTCAACCTCCACATAGCCTACTTAAAGTTTTTTGTTTTGTTTGTTTGTTTGTTTGTTTTCTTGAGACGGAGTCTTGCTCTATCGCCCAGGTTGGAGTGCAGTGGTGCGATCTCGGCTCACTGCAAGCTCCGCCTCCCAGGTTCACGCTGTTCTCCTGCCTCAGCCTCCGGAGTAGCTGGGACTACAGGCACCTGCCACCACGCCCAGCTAATTTTTTGTAATTTTTAGTAGAGATGGGGTTTCACCGTGTTAGCCGGGATGGTCTCGATCTCCTGATCTTGTGATCCATCCGCCTTGGCCTCCCAAAGTGCTGGGATTACAGGCATGAGCCACCATGCCCGACCTAGCCTACTTAAATTTTAAAATACAAAAAGACCCTGCCTGGCAGGTTAGGAAGACGAGTCAGAGTGGATGCAGCTTTAGACGAGAAGTGTGGAGGATGCAAAAGACCTAAAAAGTATAGCTATCTTCAAAGATACCTAAACTGGGTGGGTAGACAGGACCCATACAAGTGGAATCGTTAAAGCATTAAACTGAAGACCAGCAGATGATCAAAGAAGGCAGAGGTCTGTGTTGGTGGGAAAGGTTCAGGGGCTTCACAGAGGAGGTAGAGCTCGAGCTGGATCCTCACGAATGAGTTGGTTTTGGTAAGAGGGCAAAAGAAAAGGCATCCAAGGAGGAGACAAAGAAGCAACTGAAGGTGCCAGACAGGAAGTCATAGGGCCACAGTGAGGAGGAACAGCGAGCCTCTCACGGGAGCAGAATATCATGAACAGTATTTTATTTACTTATTTATGTATTTACTTATTGATTGATACGGAGTCTCACTCTGTCGCCCAGGCTGCAGTGCAATGGCACAATCTCGGTTTACTGCAACCTCCGCCTCCCAGGTTCAAGCAATTCTCCTGCCTCAGTCTCCTGAATAGCTGGGATTACAGGTGCCCGCCACCAGACCTGGCTAATTTTTTGCAGTTTTAGTAGAGACGGGGTTTCACCATATTGGCCAGGGTGATCTCGGTCTCTTGACCTCGTGATCTGCCTGCCTCAGTCTCCCAAAGTGGTGGGATGAATTACACATTTAAAAAATACAAATTACTTATTTTCTATAACAATGCATACTGCCCTGAGCATTGCAATAAAACTTTTTTTTTTTTTTTTTGAGATGGAGTCTCACTCTGTCACCCAGGCTGGAGTTCAGTGGCACGATCTTGGCTCACTGCAACTTCTGCCTCCTGGGTTCAAGTGATTCTCCTGCCTCAGCCTCCCAAGTAGCTGGGATTACAGATGCACGCCACCACGCCCGGCTAATTTTTGTATTTTTCGTGGAGATGGGGTTCACCAAGTTGGCCAGCCTCGTCTTGAATTCCTGACCTCGTGTGATCCTCTCTCCTTGGCCTCCAAAAGTGCTGGGATTACAGGCATGAGCCACTGCACCTAGCCTTAATTTTATTTTATTTTATGTAATTTTTCTGTAGAGATGGGGTCTCACTATGTTGCCCAGGCTGGTCTCAAACTTCTGGCCTCAAGCCATCCTCCCACCTCGGCCTCCTGAAGTGCTGGGATAACAGGTATGAGTCACGGTGCCTTGGCCTATGAACAGTGTTTTATATTCACCTGCTGATGGCAGCAAAAGTTAACTGGAATTTTAAAGGCAGTCGTAGCAATTCAAGAACTCATTCATTCATTCATTCAACTGTCAATATTAGAACGTGTTTGTGATGGAAATTGAGGACACAACAGCAAATTCAAAAAACTGGGTTTCTGTTCTCACAGAATTTACAATTTGGTGGTGAAGGTAGAGGGGTAATAAGCAGTTAGAGTGTGGGAAGTTTCTGCGATAGGAGAAGTAAAAGTTCAGATTTGAGGTTTTGGAGCATGACAAGAGGAGTGTTGTTTAATATAAGAGAATGGGAAAGGAGAGAAAAGAGCAAACCCAAGAGGCACCAGAAAAAAAGAAATGGCAGGGGCTGGATTGGATACAGAAGATAAAGAGGGGAAGAGAATCCCAGTTGGTCCCCAAGACTCAAAACATGCCTGTAATCCCAACACTTTGGGAGGCTGAGGTGGGTGGACTGCTTGAGGCCAGAAGTTTGAGACCAGCCTGGGCAACCTAGTGAGATTCCATCTCTACCAAAAAAATCCACAAAATGCCACTGCGTAATTGCAGCTTTTGAGCCCATGTTTGTGTGACACCAATGTTCTGTGCCCTGAACTCCTAAGCCAAGGTAATTCTGACTGTGTGTTGTGAACGAGAGAATTCATCTCTCTGACCTATCGAAAGTTTCAGGCAGTTAAAGGTTGACCTTTGGGTGGGTGCCGGGGCTCGCATCTGTAATCCCAGCACTCTGAGAGGCCGAGGAGGATGCATTACTTGAGCCCAGGAGTTCAAGATCAGCCTGGACAACATGGCGAGACCTTGTCTCTACAGATTTTTTTTTTTTTATTTAGCTGGGTGCGATGGCACACACCTGTGGTCCCAGCTACTCGGGAGGCCGAGGTAAGGGAATCGCTGGAGCCACTATACTCCAGCCTGGGCAACAGAGCAAGGCCCAGACTCAAAAAAAAGGCTGAGCATTGAATAAGGTGTTTAACCTTGTTTTACTTTGTTAACAAGAAGTCTAAAGAAGTAAAAAAGAGGAATTTCTTATCCTGACCTATTTCTGGACAAAAAGGAGGAAATCACTGGTGAAGTGGAAACAATAGAAAGATCTGGGGAAAGCCAGATTACGACCCGAGGGAGGAGAAGAGGAAACAGAGCTCCATGCCGGTGCCCGACCTCAGGAAGGCAGTGTGGAAGAGGCTGGCATGGAAGTGGCCCCAGAGAAGAAAGACGTGAGCTTCTAACAGGGAAAGTGTAATTCTCTCTGGACTATGGCCAAAGACCCTGAAAAAGGAGAAAAGAGGAGATAATAAAGCCAGTGTGGCTCACCAGGCACCATGTCAGAGACACCAGTCAATTCAGTGGAAAAAGAAATGACCAGTACAATTACTTCTCATGAGGCAGACCAAAGCAAAATGTTTCATAAACGTTTTTCTTCCTCAGTCTTCTGTGCTGTCTTAACAGAGTGTGGTTTGCCACGGTTTAGAAGAGAGAGCACCTGAAATATTTTTCACTCTTCTGAACAAACACCAGGTAGGAAATTGGTCACATAAATAGCAGGAACACAGAACTGAATATCCAGATCGCTTTAAACTACCTTTCCTCGTGCTTATGACAGTTAACCCTGGAAACAATGACAACTACAATGACAACTGTGTCCTGACCCCATGGGAATTCCAAGGGGACTAACCAGTTACGCTGATTGGGAGATGCAAAGCTTCCTCTTTCACCTAGGGGTTTTCTATAAATGGCCAGTTGACAGGAGACGGATGTCAGGACATTTGAGTTTACAGTGAAACAGTATCTTGGTGCCTAAGAAGATGCGTTCTGGTTACAACTAAGAAAAGGGGTTTCTTGGCTGGGAACGATGGCTCACGCCTGCAATCCCAGCACTTTGGGAGGCTGAAGGAGGAGGATCACTTAAGGTCAGGAGTTCAAGACCAGCCTGGCTAACATGGTGAAACTCCATCGCTACTAAAGATACAAAAAATTAGCCGGGCGCGGTGGCACGCGCCTGTAATCCCAGCTACTCGGGAGGCTAAGGCAGGAGAATCGCTTGCGGTTGAGGTTGCAGTGAGCTAAGATCATGCCATTGCACTCCAGCCTGGGCGACAGGGCGAGACTCCATCTAAAAAAATAATAATAATAAATAAAAATACAAAATAAAAAAATAAAAACGTCAAAGAAAGAGAAAGGAAAAAAAGTAAAGTTGATACTCATCAACAGGAGTTAAAATAAAAATTTCTAAAAAGTGGAATACT